GGATGCCATCCAGAGGAACCTGGACACACTTGAAGAGTAGGCACATGAGAATCTAAGTACGTTTAACAAGGTGAAGTCCAAAGTGTTGTACCTGAGTTGAGGCAATCCCAGATAGGAGTACAGGCTGTGAGAACTCCTTGAGAGCAGCCATGTGAATGACTTGGGGGTTCTCGGAGACAAAAAGCTGTACATGAGCCAGCAGTGTGCTCTTGCAGCCCAGAAGTCGTCCTCTAGGCTGCATCAACAGAGGTGTGGCAGCAGGGTAATGGAGGGGACTGCCCCCTGTACTCTGCCCTCATGAAGCCCCACCTGAAGTACACTGTCTCCTCCAACCTAAGCCATTCTGTGATTCTATGAAATGAAAGGAAACACACGGCACACGCTGATTACTTCAGGACTACAGGTCCATAAAGGCATTCCAGCCACCAAATCACCAAGCTTTTGTGACAATTAGTGCACAGCCATTGTTAGCACTGAAGGATATAATTACAACACGCATAATGCATGCGAGGCCTTTGAGCAGAGTTAAAAAAATATTATTCAAAGCTGCTAATAGGCAATGGGAATTCTCGCTGGGTAACATTTCAGAAGCCAGGAGCTGTTTGTGGCTGCACTCCCAGGTTGTGCAATGGGAAGTGCACAGGGGCGACTGCCTGGGGCTGTGCTGGGAGCTGCCCTGGGGCTGAGCAGGGACCGTAATCCCAGCAGCTGGCTGCTGGCCGTGTGCCACAGGGCAAGGTGCTCCTTGCAGCTGGCCTGAATGTGCCAGGGGCATCTGCTGCCCCGGGCTGCTCACAGCGTTGCACCAGGAGTGGGAACAGTTGGGGCTGTCATCCCAGCATGGTGATTCATGGTAGCAGAGCGGCGTGCTGCCACTTGTGGGTGCGAATCATCTCGCTCTCTGTGTGACCCAGTGGTGGGAAATAGCATGGAAGCTTTTGGTCTGGTGAAGCAACGCTGCCCTCCAGCTTGGGGAAGCCAAAGCCTTGGTTCTCCTGGCCTGGGTACAGCAGAGTTTTCACATTCCTATGGGAAACAAGGCAGTTTGTGACAGTCTTTCTGCCCCCTTTCTGAGGACTAAGGCTGCATCCCCATGCTGTGCCCATCCCCAAGTGGTGGCTCAGGGGGGCCGAAGATCTCCCTTTTCTCATTGCGACTGAAGCAGGCACCCAGTGACGTCTTTCCCTGGGCCGTGGCCACGCACTGATGTTAGGATTGCAGAGCAGATTAGCACGGGATGTGGGAGCTCCTCAGTTATCTCACACCATGGTTCAACACAAACCCACTCTGCTCTGGCTTCCCTGCTCTAAGTGTGGTGGTTCATCACAGGGTGTTCCTTCTGGGTGATCTGTACTGACGCCTGTTGCATTGCTCACATCTGCACATGTCCCACAGGATATGTCCTGGGCTGCTCCCAGCCCTGCGCCTGGCACAGGAGGGCTGTGCAAACAAACAGGGCCACAAACAGTGCTTAGAAAAGTGTGGAATGCCTCACGTTCTGCTTAGGGCACCTTAGCCAAAGCTCTTTGCTCAGTCTAACTTTGCTGGGAATCCCTTTAGATAAAAGCTCTACAAAACCTACCCAAAGCATCATCAGCCCTATTAGCAAACACAGGTTTGGTTTATGACACTTACTGAACGGGTGCCACAGCTGGGTTGACTGCTTAACTCACCTGTGTGTGGTCTCGTGAATGTCTTCTGGCAGCTCATGTTATCAAACACTTGGTGTTACTGCCAGAAACCCCAACCTGTAAAGCCCTTTGCACAGCACCTCTTGCAGCTCTCGTAGCCAGCCAGGCCAAAGGGATGTGCTTTTCCGTAGCACAGATATGGTGAGGATTCATTGCAATTTACTCATATTTATTCAGGAGATTATGTTATTTCCAATTTAACTACATTTTCTCCTGGTGCAAGAGGGCTGTGCAATCTGTTTCAGGTGCAGCACTCCCCTCTTCACCCTGATGTAATCACAGTTGCACCCATCCTTGTATATTTCTAATGCAGCCATACCACATCCTCTCTTAAGCCTAGTTGCATCACCTTCCTTTCACTGCTTCATCCCCTTTATATATAAAATATCCCAATTATATTTTTTCTCTATGCTCCCTTACATCCCCAGTGCACCCCACTGTATCCTACCTGCTGCAGCCCCATCCCATGCACCCACCTTGCAGCCCCTTTGCAGCCTGTTTTAACCCCACCACCTTCTTGTTGCATCCCCCTTGCACACCCCCATTGGTACACTCCTTGTACCCCCATGGAAGCCCCACTATGTCCCCAGCTTTCTACCTTGTTGTATCCCCACTGCAGACCTATTGCATACCCCGCTTGCACCCCCACTGCTGCTCTGTTGTATCCTCCTTTTGCACCCCTATTGCATCCCTCCCTTGTACTCCTTCTGCAGCCCTATTACACCTCAGATGAAGTCCCATTACACCCCTGTCATGCCCCTCCTTACAATCTCACCGAAGCCCCACTACATTTCCCTATTTCCCCCATTCCCCCCGCCCCCCCCCCCCCCAACCCCCAGACCAACCCCCACAGCCCCCCCGGGGCCCCCGCCCCCCCCCCTTCCCCCCCCCTCCCCCCCCATCCTCGCACCCCCTTTTCAACCTCCTCCCACCTCCCATTTCACCCCCACTGCAGCTCCCTTCGCACCGCCCCTTCCATCACCGCCCGTGCGCTCCGCTGCGCCCCCGCGGATCCTTCCCGGTACCGGCGCGGGGAGGCGGGCGCAACGGAGCCGCCGCGTTTCTCTCGGCGCTGCCATCGCTGCTCGGCCCGGTAAGCGACGGGGGCGAGGAGCTGCGGTGGGGGGGCGGTGCTGGGGCCGAGGGGCACCGGAGGGGTTTACCCGGATACCGAACCGCTGCCCCGCGGGCCCTGAAATGGATGGAGGGAGGAGGAGACTGAAAGGCCTTAGCGGAACGCAAGGAGTAATTTGTAAAGATACGCTTAAAAACTGTCGTTAATTTTCCTTCCAATTTAAAAGATAAAATCGGGGCACAAAGAGGAGGAGAGCGGTGATGCTGCTGTGCTATCTGAAGGATGCCATCATTTTGCAGGAGCAGGTTTTGGGGAGGGATATATAGATGAGGGGAGAGGGAGGGGGTGGCCTCAGCACCGCGAGCCCGTCCTCTGGAGGGGGCTGAGGCCGGGTGCACTCGTGACATCTGCATTGGGGTGGGGGTGGCGTGGCGGTGGGGTCTGGCTCGTGGCCCCGGGCCGTGCTGTGCAGCTGCAAGTGGGTCAGAGATGGGTGTTTTGTGAACTGGCGCTGTAGAAATAATGATCTCATTTCTGCCGTCTATAAATAAATGAAGGTGAAAGGGCACATTTCCTACTTCCAGCCTTTCGGAGACTGGATTAAGACAGAGAGCTGGCTGACGGACAGAGATCGTCCAAATACAAATAGATCTTAAATTATTACTTCGCTGCGACTGGTGTCTGAAAGGTCACCCCGTGAAACATACCTCTGAGGAATCGTAATGTTAGTTATGTCATTGATGACAGTCAGTAGTGTTTTTCTGGCTGTTAGGGATGGCAGGGGAGGCAGTTGTGAGGGAGATGTTTATTTGCACGGCGCCGGTTCTCCTTACACCATGAGCTGGGACTCTTGGGGGCTCTGTTTGTGCTGCTGAAGCCCACTGGAGCCCCCTGGTTTTGCTGTGGGATCTTAAAATCGCTTTCATGCAACCATTAGAGTATGCTTAAAAGTGTTTCTTTGCATTTGGATGTTCGGAGATGTACAATCTGTTGGGCTGCTGGGGAGAGACAGGGAACCGTGGGCGCAGGGAGCGGTGTGCAGGAGGCAGCCCTGCCTGCCCAGCCCTGCCCGGCACAGACCCGTAACCTTTCTACTTGAGTTTTGACACACCTGATGAGCAGAACGGCGTGCACTGGGGATTTCTTGGTGTGAAAATGCTCCCTTGAGGAGCCGTGCACACAGCTGCAGGCAGCATCGCTTCTCAGCTGGTGCATCACAAGGGCTCTGTGGCCATAGACCCCCCTGTTCCCCTGCACCTCCTGCAGCCCTGCCAGTGCACATCCCATCGCAGGGGCTCGCCCCGTGCCTGCTGCAGCATCCTCAGAAGCTGCTCTATGAGAGGCACTGCTCAGTGCAAAGCCTCACCGTCTCCCTGGGAAACGATGTGAGCTGCTTTCACATCCGTGGGCTTGGGTTTTGTTTTTGAGCTAAATGTAGGTTTCTGATCCCACACACTGCTGTGTGCTGCTGCTCCTGCTGCATCTTGCATGAGGTTTGGAAAAAAAAAATCACCATGTATACTTGGGCTGGATCTCTGGATCTTCTCCGGCCTCCCTGGGGTGCCCCAATAAGCTTGGAAGAGAACAAATATTAATGAGGATTCCAGCCTGGCTATCAGCCACTTGTCCCTTTGGCCTGTGACTCTGGGGACTCTTTGACATGTTGTCCTTGCAGCGCTCTGCAGCCCCCTCCCATCTCCTGGCCTCTCTGGCACATGTCAGTGCCTGCTTGGGCTGCCTGGACCCCAGCTCTGGGCTGTCTCCCAGCCCTCTCCCAGCAGCCATGGGACGCAGAGGCCAAACCGGTGTTCCTGGTTCAGCATCCCATGCCCTGCCAGCTACACAGCCTTACTGCTGTCATCATCACAAGGCATTTATCGGACTTGCCTAATGGATGTTTGTGAGTTAATTGATGAGGGCAGGAGCCTTGCTTTGCGCTGTTTGCAACAACCCTTGCAGCCTCGTGCTGAGTAATAGGTGGCAGTCACAAGGCTCCTGGCTGTTCCCATTTACTTTCACTGTTCAGCCTGAGCTGTCCCTCCAGCAGGCAGCCAAGGGCTCCCAGGCAACCCTCCATGACATTGGGGTGCCTGGGGCCACGCTTGCTTTTCCCATTATCTGCACCTGTAGTGCACACTTTGATTCCAGTTGGAATGAGTGCCCTGCTGGCACAACATTGAACAAAGTTCTGCATTTATACAAGCAGGGGAAAGGTTAGTCAGAAGTCATCAATGATGAGTTTGGAAGGGGAGCTGGTGCCTTAAATATCTCCGACTCGCTGCTTCCCTTGCTGCAGGTCAGCAAGGAGAAGGAAAGCAGCAGGGTGATCCTAACCTTGTTTTCCTCTTTCAACAGCGAGCCACAGCACCCACAGCAAGCAGGACCTGTGCCAAGAGGAGGAGAAGGAGGAGGTGATCTCCAGAGAGTAAGCCAGGCTTTGAATGCCTCTTCCCTTTTTGCTTTGCTTTCCAGGAGTGGTGAAGGCAGAGGAGCTGAGGCAGTGGCTCCATCCCACTGCATCCCTGTGCTGTCCTTGCTGCTCACTTGTCTTCCTCATGGGCTGCAGTGCCTGCGCTCTGTGCTTCATTTCTTCCCTGTCTTAGCAGCACAGCCGAACCTGCTGGCAGGTGGGTTGGGCTGTGCAGCCCTGCTGAGGTGTTGCTGCTGCTCCAAGGACTTGTTTATAGGCAGGGAGCACAGGGAGCAAAGATCTTCCTGCAAAATGACAATGAAATGAAATGAAATGAAATGAAATACTGTGTCATTCAGGCTTGAGGAAGTAGCTGATGTTTGGCTCTGCTAAGGAGGGATCTGGTGCAAACATCTCCTGCATTCCTTGAATTACAGTTACTCCTTTTTTTTCCCTGGGGAAGGTGGGAAGCTGGATTTTGCTGTGGACTTTTTGTGAACTCTTCATCTTGGTCACATACAGCATGTGTTTGTAATGTGATTCAGTATTGCAGCATCAGTGTGGGAGAGGATATCGCCGCGGTGCTTTGGTTCCTGTTTCACAGCACAGCATGCCAGCCTGGCTGCTAAAGGAAGCAGAAATACATCTGCATGTGCTGACATGGGGAAATTTGGGGCAGGAGGAGACATGGGTGAGAGGACACCAGGCACTGGAAGTGTTTTGTTTTATAACCAAGTGTGACAAAAGAGCTAGTGCTGAGGAAAGGGGCATGACATAGGTGAGCATGGTGAGCAGCAGGAATTAAAGGCTGTCTGTGGCAGGGTTTAATCCCTTAATGAGAAAAATAGATCTTTGCTGCTGGCAGCTGGGAGAGCAGAAAGGGCTGTGGGCACTTGTCCTGGTGATACCTGGGGGGACGTTGATGGAAGTTGTTTGGGAGGTGTGCTGGATCCAGAGAAATGCAGCAAGCACAAAATGGCTCCTGGGCATTTGGAGTACGGGGATGTTTTGGTGCCATATCAGGAACAGGGATGAATATGTCTCGGATAAGGGCTGGTGGCCAAAGAGCACCCTGCCAGGTTCCTTCCATCCCTCCCCAAGACCACTAATAGGCTCTGCTCCCTTGATTAGTCAGTGCCTGTGCAGAGCAGTAATGAGCCTGGAGCCGGGCTCAGGCTGTGGATTCTAGGTCAGCAGCTGTGTGCTGGGGATTTGGGAACAGGCAGGGCCTGTGTGGGGCCTGCATGTGAGCTGCAGGGCCATGAGCACCTCATGGGTGGGCATCGCAGCAGCTGGGCTGGCTGGGAGCTGCCTGCATCACTGTGCCTTGGTCTGTGCCCACCTGGAGCTTAATGCCCTTAAGGATCTGCACCGTAGGGAACATTGTAATAATTAGTCATACTGAGCTTTAAACTTTATTGCCCTCCTGATTGCTGTCCTTTGCCTTGCACCCTGCCATTTTCCTCTTCTCCTGGCTGCCAAGATTTCATTTAGCCTTGTCTAGTTTCTGGTGTTTAACCCCTGATCCCTCCATGCACCCAGGTAGGGCCAGGCCGGAGGAGCAGCATGGACCTCGATGTGCTCAACATGTTCGTCATCGCTGGCGGCACCCTGGCCATCCCCATCCTGGCCTTTGTGGCCTCCTTCCTGCTGTGGCCCTCTGCGCTCATCCGCATCTACTACTGGTGAGTGCTCCCCTCTGAAAGTAGGGCTCAGCTTCCAGGGCAGGGGCTGTCCTTGTGCTGGCAGTTACAGAAAGGACTCTCCCCATTCTCTTCCTCTCCTGTGGGTGTAGGGGGGGTTTTCCTTAGCTACGTGCATCCTGTCCTTCCTGATAGCAGCAGGCCGGCGCTATGTCCTTCATCCCATTTGTCCCTGGAAATTAGCAATAAACATGCTGTCGGCTTTCATTTCTGGGCTTGTAGCAGAGGAAAGCTCCTGCAGGGAGCTGGGCAGCATCTCACTGGCCTCCCACATGGCTGCTATCACGTGCTGGTGGCAGATGGTGGCTCCCACAGCCTGGCTCAGGGGTGTTCCCCATCAAAGTGACCTCTTGTAAGTGAAGGATGTTATCCCGCCCTGCCGCTCAGCCACACAGCATGATTAAATCTGTCCTTCTGATGGAGTATATAATAGCAACCCTCTGATCAAAGCATCTGGGAGCTGGTGGGAGGGTCGAGGTAATGCAAACCTCAGCAAACCAACCCAACAGCAGCTCCCTGCTGGGCATCACGGGGCAAAGCATCACCTCGTGGTGTTGGGGGGGAGACAGAGAAGAGCCCGCCGCAATGTCCTTCAGGGCTGTGAATTATGAGCTGAATGAGAGCAGAAAGGTGGTGGCACATCCCCGGACACCCCTCCCTTCTCCCATCGCTCATTTCCCTCCTCACCATCACTGAGATGCCACAGCACAAGGACCTGGAAGACCAATCATGCTTCTCTGTTAGTGTCCACAGGGGCTGAGGGGTACTTGGGGCCAGCCCAGCAGGGTCAGCCGCTGCTGCCCATGGGTTAAGCGGTTTAACTGTGGCTGCTGATCCTGTTAACACCTTGTGGGAGATCAGTTCAGCTTTGCACAGATTATTTTGTCTTCTGCTGAATTGATCCATCAGGATCAGTTGCTAAAAATGTTATCAACTTGCCCATCAGCAGTTTACACCGGTGCCTTTGAGGCGAGCACTCTTAAGACACTTATTCAGGGAGAAATTCGCCTCTCCTTGTAGGACCCACACGCGGCCATGATATCACTTAAGTTCCACTAACTCCCTCAAAAAAGGGATTATGGTAAAAGAGGATTGTGCTATGCATAAGCTTTGAGTGGGCAGAGAGCTAGGACAGCCCAGCATAGTGTTGGTGACCTTGATTCTGTGTCTCAAGTAAATTCTGACATTGTGTATGGAGGTATTTGGAAGCACCTTGGCTGCAGGAGGATCCCAGCAGTTGTTCTGACTTTTGACTGTAGGGGAAATGCAGGCAAACCGTGCCTACTCCATGGCCTTTGACTGCACGCACACAGCATCTGTCCAAACTGTCACAGATAATCTCTGCCCAGGTCCCCTCTGGCTGGTAGTTTTACTGCAGCATCTTTAGCCAGGCTGCAGGCCTGCTCTGGTGGGAGCTGTCTGCTTCCTGAGGAATAGTTTTCTGTGGGGGTCAGGCTGGTATCTTCTGGGCAGGGGACAGTCACCAACAGAGTGCTGGTGTGTGTATCTGAACACATTTTCAAAGGCCCTTGAGGTGGCATATGGGAAAAGGGTCCCGCTGTGCCCTGGTCTTGCTCCTGGAGTTATTTTCTCCTTGTTTCCAGGTACTGGCGTCGAGCCCTGGGCATGCAGGTCAAATACATAAACTATGACGACAGCTATCAGTTTTGTTATTCCTATAGAGGAAGACCTGGTTACCGGCCATCTATCCTGATGCTACATGGCTTCTCAGGCCACAAAGACATGTGGCTGTCCATAGTCAAGGTGGGACTCCAGTTTTCTTGTAGCTGTTTAGTGAGTCAATAGTCTGGGGCTCAAGGGTGGTGTGGGGGCATATGGGCTATGATAATCATTATAACGTACTAGGAATACCCTCTGCTCTGTGGCTGTTATTCATTGGAACCTTTTCATCCCTATGAGTGCAAATCTGCCTTCCTATTGGTATGATCACCCCATTTTGTTTTGGCAGTTCCTCCCCAAGAACCTGCACTTGGTGTGTGTTGACTTGCCTGGGCACGAGGGCACAACACGCTCAGCCTTGGATGATTACTCCATTATGGGACAAGCAAAGAGGATCCACCAGGTAAAGTTTCTTGGTGCTTTGCTGCCACTCCTGCTGCATGAGGGATATAAGGGATGCTGGTACCCACGTGGCCCCACTCCCTCCCCAGTTGTGCCCAGGCTGCCGGGTCAGTCCACTGGCCTCATGGTTTTGGTGTGAATTTCTCTAAGGACACCACACCTTTGCTTCCTCTGCCCTAACAATGCTCCTTCTGCTCCTGTGCAGTTTGTGGAGTGCATCAAGCTTAACAAGAGGCCCTTCCACCTCGTCGGCACCTCCATGGGTGGGAATGTTGCTGGGGTTTATGCCGCGCAGTACCCAGAGGATGTGTGCAGCCTGACTCTGATTTGTCCTGCAGGTGAGTAACATGGGGCAGGCAGAACATGGAGGAGAGTGAGCAGGAGCTGCTGCAAGAACCTTGAGTAGTGCTGGTGCTAAAGTGTCCTTGCACATCACATGGTACAAAATTTGTTGAAACAGTTCATATACATAGTCTGAAATTCTCTGGCAAGGCACAGAGCTCACGGTAGGAATTAAAAGCCCTGCCCTGATCGGTGTTCTCCAGAGCTCTGCAGTTTGCCCAGCTGGAGCTAAAGCCTCGGGCAGATGGGTGCAGGAGCCCATGCAGGACAGGGGGCTTCTCCTGGGGGCTGTGCTGCGTTGCACTGTGCTCACTGCTGCTTCTTTGCCCCAGGGTTGCCGAGCTTCAACGAGAGCAAGTTTGTCAAGATGCTCCGGGAGCTGAAGGAGTCCGAGCGCACCGACAGGATCCCATTGATTCCCTCCACACCCGAGGAGATGGCCGACATGCTGAAGCTCTGCTCCTACGTTCGCTTCAAGGTGCCACAGCAGGTGAGAACCAGGGGCGGGATTTTGGGGCGGCCCGGATCTGCCTGCTGACAACTTCCCTGTGCGCCTCCCTGCTGCCCTCTGCCAGTGCCGGCTGGAATAACCCTGCGTGAGGCTCAAGAGTTCCAGCAGCAGGCCGTGAAACAGAAGTGTTTCTCAATAAATATGGCTGTCAGGAAGCACTAAATAAATAAAGAAGGCTATTGTCTGGCCTGGAGGGGAACTGTTTGTTGCTTTTTTAGCAGAAGCTATGGAAATGTTAATCACGGCATTGTGAGGTGAGAGGAACTTGGCAAGGAGCTCGCTATTTAGCCAGGTTTTCCTTAGGAAGTCTGGGATGAGTAGATTGGAGAATAAGAAAAAAATGTGAAGTCATGCCAAGACCAATTTTTTTGGCAAAAGAACAAAAGAAGGAAGAAAAGCAGAGTCATGGCTGAAACAGACAGCCTGCCAGCCATGGGAGAAAAATGTGGTTTAGCATTACAAAAGGCTGAAATAGTTTCTGGTGAAATGCTGGTTACCCAAGTGCTGATGTGACAGCCAGACATGCAGTGGGCCAGCTGGTGGTGGGGCAGGCACACCGCTGGCCCCATACGAGGTGCAGCCCCCCAGCATGTCCCTGTTCTTCCCCTGCAGATCCTTCAGGGCCTGGTGGACGTCCGCATCCCACACAATGATTTCTACCGAAAATGTAAGTGTGTCCTGTGTCCCTGGGCTGCCCCCTGTTGAGAGCCCGAAGGGCAGTGGGGTGGATGGATTTAGGGGTGCATAGGCAATGGGGCTGCTGCTTTGTCCTCATCCTCCTAGCTGGTCCAATGCATACTAATGTCTATGCGGAGGTGGGGTTGAAAAATGCCTCTGTTGCGGTTTGGTAGAGGTGCTGAATGCCACCACCACCCCTGCCTGTGAGCTGGTTCTCCATGTCACGGGGCTGCATGCAAAGCATCCTTCTCCATAGGCTTACCCTCTCCCTGTTCACCCCAGTATTTTTAGAAATTGTGGATGAGAAGTCCCGACACTCTCTCCATGAGAACATGAACAAGATCAAAGCACCGACGCAGGTCATCTGGGGAAAGCAGGACCAGGTATGTGACTGCCTCTTGGCTTCAGACTTTTGGGTGCTGCCAAGTCTGACATAATCTGGGAAGAGGAATAAGAGGAATAAATTGCCAGTAGAGTTGTGCTGGCAACCAGAGAGAGATGTGCTCTTCTGTGTGCAGGTGGCAAGGAGAAAGCATCGTTCCATGTGGTTGCAAGGGGAGGAACAGGAAGATCTGGAGGGTGGGGAAGGGACAAAGTGCAGGCATAGGCTGGCACCCAGTGCAGAGCCTGGGGAGATGGTACAGCACGGCCTCAGCCCTCCCCCACCAGCACTGCAAAGGCCATGTCTGCATCCCTGCTCAGCATCTGTTTTGATGCTCAGCATCAGCATTTGTTGGGTTGATAAATGCAACGTGCCATGTGGTGCACTGCTGCACAGTCTATTTCTGTTTGAGGCACCAAAGGAGCCCTTTTGGCAGGCGTGGTGGGCACTGTCCTGTGCTGTTGATTAACAGTGGCCAAGCACTGGAACAGGGAAGTGGTGGAGGCACTGTCACTGGAGGTGTTCAAGAAACATGCAGATATGGCACTGAGGGACAAGGTTTAGTGGGCATGGTGGTGATGGGTGACGGGTTGATGGTTGGACTAGATAGTCTTAGAGGCCTTTTCCAACCTTAGTGATTCTATGATCTCGACTGAGCCTGCAGAGGCATCTCCCATGGGGTTTTTGCCATGGCCAGTAAAGCCCAGTGCTATGGCAATGACTTTTCTCTCCAACGTCCAGGTCCTGGATGTTTCTGGTGCTGACATCTTAGCAAGTGCCATCCCAGACTGCCGCGTGTCCATCCTGGAGAACTGTGGCCACTCGGTGGTGGTGGAGCGGCCGCGCAAGACAGCAAACCTCATCCTGGAGTTCCTGGCAATGCTGCACAGCACAGGCAACAGCAAGAAGCAGGCGTGATGGGGCTGGAGCCGTGCCGAGGCCGTGTCTCGGAGCTGTAACACATCGAAGCATTGATGAGTTCTCAGGGATTTGTACAAACCGTGGTGAACGTGCCAAAGTCCCTGAGGCAGGCAGAAGTCACTGACACACCGACCTAGAGCACTGCTGACACAGCGACCCAGGACCTCTGAGCAGCCCACATAGATGCAGGAACAGGACCTGAACCTTTTCTGCTCCTAGGTTACAGCAGAAATGAGCAGAAACCACAACCCGCTAGCCACGCAGTGTGCTGAAGCTCCCAATGCAGCCCACGTTGCCCACATCACTGGCACTCAGTTGTGAATGACATCATCTGGACTCTCTGACAAACGCAGGGGACTGGAGGTGTCCCAGAGCAGGACTCGCCGTGTTCCCAGCCCTGACCGCCGCGTTGCATGCTGCCGTGCTGTGCGAACCCCGCGCTCTGGGCACGGCTCTCCTTTCCTTGCTCGGATGATGAGAGAGAACACGTGGAAGTCACACGGCTATGAGTGTGAATGCCTTCACACGTCGGCTGTGCAGATTTCCTCAGACCCCTGAGCAGCTCCTGTGCATGTGTGATGCCTTAACAGCCTGTGAGCAGCCCACGGGAGAGGGCGAGCGCGGGGCGAGCGCGTCTTGCCTCTTCTCTGTCCCCTTGTGCTGCAGAATGCTCCGATGTAAAGAACACATTTGTAATGAATTCCGTGAATTCTGTGAACGGTGACGGTGCTGAAAACGTGTGGAAGAGGGGAACCGGCCGGTGCGTGATGGCCATCGTGCCCAGGTACCTGTACATATATTTGGGAATCCCCAGTGGTTTCTCTGCTCTTTTTGAGAGAAGAAACATTTGTTCTTTTGGAAAATGAGCAATTTCCTGTTAATCGCTTGTTATGGTTTCTACTAAAGGAGTTGATTTAAAAAAACGTAATTAAAAAAAAAAATCACTGATAGTTTTATGTGGTAAATGCCAGAAAAGAAATGTTTGGGTATAGTATAGTTTCTCATATGCCACAGATTGCTGTCTGCAGAGGATTTCTATGGCAATTAAAATCTAGGACTTTAAAGAGCACTCCATGTGGTGATTTCTTTCCTTTGGGACAGACAGAGCTGTATGGAATGGCAGTGTTGGGGCTCTCTTCTTTCATCTCACATTTCTATGAGTTCCAGGTTTTGCCATGAGGAACACTTGGTATTACTGAGAGAGATCGTGATGAGAAGGAAGGTTCCATGCTCACCTCCTCTAAGATAAAAGGTGAAATTGCTGTTTTTTTCCTTTTTAAGAGGAAGTAGCCCTGAACAGTCAAAAAGCACAATAAAATCTTGGGGGCCATGCAGCTTGAGCCGAGTCTTTGCACTTAAAAACTAAAACATGGTAAAAGTAGGCAATGGGCACCTCCTGGCTGCAGCTGGACATCACTGCAGGAGCAGGGGCAGCTCCTGCCTGGTGACAGAACCCCCCAGCCCTTTGCCCGGGGGCTGGTAGCAGCTGAGAGCACTGACGGGCATAGGGAGCACCTGGAAGTGGGCACTGACACCTCACCCCTTATTCCCTGCTGGGAGCTGGCAAAGCCCCACGCTGCTGCGTGCCAAGGGCTGCCCCTGGGAACCAGAACCATCACCCGAAGGTAAGGCCGTGGCCCTGGGAAGCGGGCAGTGGGGCTCCTATCTGGGATCTGGTTCAGCTATGGGGAAAGCGGGGTGTTGTGCTGCTGTGGGGCTGAGCAGTGCAGGGTGTCACGTGGGAGCTGCCCCCCTGTCCTTCTCCCACTGTCTGAACCTTCCCCTGACTCATGGCATTTCACAACCCTCCTGGCAGCAGAACATGTTTATCTTGGGGAAGCCAGGTCGGGAGCACTCAGGGACATAAGATTCTCCGACATGTTCCTGTTGCCTGTGTGGGACGGGACACCCACAGAGCGGCACAGCGCCCCTCCAGCCCTGCGTGTGCTGCTGCAACCAGCGTGGGGAAGGCAAGGAAGGGTCAGCGTTTCAGTGGGCTGCTTTTTTGCACAGCAGACAGTTGTGAGAATGCGCTGCTAAGGTAGGGGCACTGCATCGAGCTGCTTCCTAGAAGCGCTCAGTTTGCCCTGCAGAGTAGGACCCACATGCAGCCTTGATGTGCTGCTGTATCAATTTTCTTTTCTTCCTTTTCTTCCTTTTCTTCCTTTTCTTCCTTTTCTTCCT